CATTGCGCTAATATCTCGTCTTCAGTCAACGTCTTCTCCAACACACCGGCGAAGGCCTCGACATAGGCTTTCATCTCATCCTTACCCTCATTCACATGATGTGCTTCATTGGCATCACTGGCCTCTCCGATATCGCCATCACTTCTCTCCGAATTCATTAATAACTGAAGAAAATCGTTGTGTTTTTCGTTATTATTTCTCCTTTTCTTTATAAGACTTCGCGAGAAATCGACAAAAAATGTGGCGTTAGAGCCAACAGCGCTTAAAATCTTACGGTATATATTACTGGATACAATAAATGTGGGCAAGGTCATTTGCAACATCCTTTTCCAAATGGGAGCATTGGATAGATTGGCCCCTTTAGTGGTGAACGGGTTGTTAGGATCGGCGTATGTATTGGTTTTGGTGGCGAAGGCACAGCTGGCGATCACATCCATAGTGTAGGCGCTCATCAGTTGCTTCAACTCGACTTCATTCATACCATTCAACACATCCTTATCGAGGCTATCGATGAAGTCTTCGCAGCACCGGTCGATCAGAGAATACATTTTCCTCATCTTTCTGGGCGTGAAAGTAGGGTTGGCTATCGCACGGATCCGCTTCCAGTCCTCATCCCTGGCATGTGACATGACCAGGCTATTACCCCCGGAAACTTTGGGTCGGTTACGAAATATATTAAAATCTTTGACCAGAATTTGTTTGATGAGCTGCGGGTCGGCCACTGTTAGCGTGGGTTTCGATAATATGTATAATCTGTAAACACAATCAAAAGTTTGTATAATAAATATATTCAATTTGTTTTTATTTTTATGGCATAATTACCCATAAATTTTGCCGTAATTCTTATACCACTCCAACTCCACTAATTGTCGAGGATTTAGGGTTAATCTCACAAGGTTTCCGAATATAGGTATGGGTTTTGGACCAGAAATGTGTCGATCCTTCCAATAGTTGAAGGCATTCCTCCACGAACTCAATGAATGGATGAATGAATAATTTCATGAAATATTATGTTTTAAATTAATTGCAATTTAATAATTAAATCTAATATAAGTATGCCTTACATGTAGTAATAGGCGATCACCGCCACAATGAGTCCTATGAGACACCA